TAGTGTGCAGCTTTGGAAATGCTGGTTTCACCACGCATAACGCGGTTATAACGATGATACTGGAGTTTTTATACAGGCCACTACGCGGGATTTTTCTCCGAAGTTAGATGATGGTAGTGACCCGTGTGTAGAACAGAATAGTGTCCTCTACTGCAATAGCTCTGCTATCCGGTAAAGATTCGACATCTGCAAATCCGAGTCATGAGAATTGAGACGTAAGCATCTTTCTGGATCACATTAGAGATCATAGTGAAAAAAAAGTATAGTGTTAGTCGTGGGTAACAGCAGCCAACAGAGGGACGAATATCTAACGGACATTTTTACAAGAGAGATTCTGCTTCTCAGAGTCGCCTGTCGATGTGGTTTAAGCCGTTGCTTGAAAACATTATTCTGTAGCTCTACCAAACAGAGCCCAATAACACAGCTTTTGTATTCGACGGGTCCATCGGATGCGGTAGTGTTTGGCCGGCTAGAATCAAGAGAGCCGAGCTATCCACATCGCATCATTATCTAAGCTGCAGCTCACAGTCGCTAGTAACATTGAAAATATTCAACTAGCTGCTTAGCAACAATATCCTGGAGCACGCTGATCTTTGCCACTACTCAACCTCAATGAAGTACTCGATCGCATAACGTTACTGAAGAGATTCTTCGGTCCAGTTGTATATTGAGCACAGCGTACTGGACCTTAGTGCAATACGGAGCATTTTCGCTCGTATTCCTCTTCGTGTTCATTTTTGTTAATAATAGTATAGTATTTCTATAAACCACTGCATTTGATATTGCAACTGTAACTGATTAACGTAAAAGCAGTGTGCTTAGTAAGCACTGCTTACATGACAGTGATCCTGAATTATGTACATGTGCGTGGGCTCAGCTGTGCCGAATCAGTAGCAGAGGAACCAGTGCGATTTGCATGAGAGTGAACGCGATTAATGTTTGAGCAGTTTTTGTCAATACTACCAGCAAGGGAAAATGATACATATTCCACTATGGTCAACGTGTGCTAATCATAATGTGAGCAGTCATAACATTCAGTCTGCATAATC